AAATTTTATCTCTGCATCCCGCATTAGGTGACGTATACCCAGTCAATAGAAGATATTTGAAATCCTCCATTAGTATTGGGTTTTCTGTTTTTGTTGCCTCTTTAATCTCCCTGAGCATTTCACAATCATTGTCACCATCCTGGTGAGGTGGTTAGAAGTATATTCCTACTGCTATACTCTTATTTTTTAAGCATGAAATTTCTAGCCATAGAACTTCTATGGTACAGTTTGAGTTATTTAAGATGTTTACTATATTTGACTCTGTGCTTTCTTTAACATATAGTGGCAGTCCCCCACCAGCACGACCTGCTCTGTCATTCCTATATAATTTTATATCAAGTTTCTGTGAGGCCTGCTATAGCAATATCCTCATTTAATACCAGGCACTCAAGTTCCCCCATCTTAGTATTTAGACTTCTAGCATTTGTATACAAGCATTTAGAATATTTAGAATTTCCAACCTAATGCTTTGTAATACTCTGCCACCATTAGATAGACAAGGGGATGAGGTAATATCTTCTATTGGACCTCACCCACATTGTCTCTCTCATATTCTGGGACCAACGTGGCAACACCTATACCACATACAACTATGCCACCATGTCCTTTGTACAGCATCCCACTACTGACTGCAATTTCATCTCTATTATCCTAGTAAACTTCTATGCTTGGAGGTGTCTGTCAGACTTCCTGCTAGAATTAGTCTTTCAAACTAACTGTTAAGCTTAGGTTATTTTGTATCTCTCATTTGAGTGTGTCAGATTTTGTTTCAGAAGAGGATAGTGCTTGAGCCATATTAACTTCAAACTCCTATTTCTGCAGCTCCTTGCTTTCTCTTTTCATAGGTGCTCTTAAAAGCCTGTCATCTATAAGAAACTCCTTATCCAGGCCTGTATTTTACAAGTTTTCTTGCAACTTCATTATAATTTCCTAAAGTGTGGGCAGTTTTGCACAATAGCTTCTGTAATATGGCTTCCTATGGTTTATGGGGTGTTTCTACCTCAGCTGATTTCTGCTCATAAAAGTAGTCACGGAACTGTTCACAACCAAAAACTGTTGCCGGCATATTTTTTTCAATCTGAGCATAGCTGTGTTGTTTTTTAATCAGAGTTTTGTAGGCACGTCCCAGTGGTGATTGTCTGGCACAAGGACAGCCCCCAGTCAGAGGAGGCTGTAGCAAAGAAGATCTTTGGCTGCACATTAATTTTGAGATTAATTCAGCACTGATAATTCTGTATTTTTTTAATTCACGAAACCCATTCTTTTGTCAACCAGCCCAATGCAATTCTGTACTGTCCTCAAGCAACATTATGAGTGGAGCATTTAATTATTCTGTGTTTCTGCATTAGCACAATTGCCTTCATCTTCTTAGGTCAGACCAAACTGCATTGGTCACAGAGTATGTATTCCTCATAATTCAGCCTGATCTGGCATGTTGTTGTTGTTCTTATTATATTACTTATAATTGTATTGCAGCAATCCAGTCAGACCGGTGGCGAGAGGTGCAGGGTGGGACCATTACGGAAGACAGGGGTGGTGAGGCTTTGGGAGGGGATAGCAGGCCTTGGGAGTGAAGGGACAGTAAAGGAAATGGGGAGGAGGAGAAGTCTGAGAAGGAGGAAGTAGGGACTACAGAGTGGGTGAAGGCTGTGAGAAAGGGGCAGGAGGCGAGAGGAGGTAGTAGGAGAGGAGATGGGGCAAGGGCTGAGAGGAAGGGGGGGGGAGGACAGTGGGTTGGTCCTGCTTTGAGCTGGGGATTGGACTAGATGACCACCTGAGATCTCTTCCAACCCTAATCTTCTATGATTCTATAGGTCAGGGAAAGGACTGGGAGAAAGGGAGGGAAAGGGATAGGGATGAGGGCAGCAGGCATAGGGTATGGAAGGACTGGGAGGGGAGATGCGTGAGGACAGTCGGGGAGGCAGGGTAAGGACTGGGCAGGTGCAGGGGTTAGGGACAGCAGGGGAAGGGCTGCGAGGGGGCTGCAAGGGGGAGGACTGGGAAGGGGAAGAGCTTGTACTAGCTCTAGCTGGAGTAGATGGCCTTTGCAGTGTATATAGGAGAGATCAGAGTTACACTTTTCTCTGAGCAAAGCTCTACTATGTCTTTCAGAGAAGTTTGTAGCTCCATCAAATGCACAAGCAGCCATCTGTTTGTGGTTCAATTTACAAGCATTTAACTCTTCTAAGATGTCACAGGTGCACCTGATGTGTCTTCTATAACCTGAACATCTAGGATGCATCTACTGGCCTACCACGGACATCAAGATAACATACACAGTGACTTAATACTTGATGCCTATTTGCATTGGTGCATTCATCTGCCATGTATGCATATATTTTGAATATGTGAGAGAGTTCTTCACTCTTTCAACTGCTGAGTCTTTCACTGTTGCACCGCATGCTTCCAGAGAGTCAGCTAAGTTTTTTCAGAAAGATAGTGAGCATTTGCCAGTCTTGTTTGACACCAGTGTCCAACTTCAGGATTAACAAATGACAATGCACTTAACATTGGCCTCCAGTTTGTAGCGTGTAGTATCTCTTGCTTAAATAGAAAGTATGATGCAACAGCCATGTTGGGTCACATAAACTGAGTTGTGTCTCCAGCATTCTTAACAGTCTCATTAAGTTCTTCTAAAATTGGCTTTGACAGCGACTGGCTTCTAAGGCTTTCTGCATGTTCATGCAGTCCAGAGGCACGGTATTTTGCAGCCTTTTAATATAGGCTGTCAGTACTGGCTTAGCTGATCAGTCTGGCAAACCAAGCTCCTCCACTTTTACTATATAAATCCATGATATGCCCACATCTTGAATACTGCGTGCAGTTCTGGTCACCCCATCTCAAAAAATATATATTGGAATTGGAAAAGGGACAGAGAATAGCAACAAAAATGATTAGGGTATGGAACAGATTCCGTATGAGGAGAGATAAAAAGACTGGGACTTTTCAGCTTGGAAAAGAGATGACAAAGAGCGGATATGATAGAGGCTTATAAAATCCTGACTGGTGTGGAGAAAATAAATAAGAAAGTATTATTTACCCCTTCACCTAACACAAGAACCAGGGATCACCCAATGAAATTAATAGGCTGCAAGTTTCAAACAAACAAAAGGAAGTATTTCTTCACACAACGCACAGTCACCCGTGGAACTTTTTGAGAGGGGTGTTGTGAAGGCCAAAATTATAACAGGGTTCATGGACGTCACATCCATCAATGATTATTAGCTAGGATGAGCACGGATGCAACACCATGCTCTGAGTGTCCCTAGTCACTGTTCACCGAAAACTGGGAGTGGACGACAGGGGATGGATCACTCGATGATTCCCTGTTCTGTTCATTCCCTCTGAAGCACCTGGAATAGTCACGGTCGGCAGACAGGACACTGGGCTAGATGGACCATCGGTCTGACCCAATATGGCTGTTCTTACTTAAAAAATAATTATAATAATAAAAAAAGTTTGGTACAGAAACTCCCGAAGATAATGCCCTCTTGAGATAGCAATGATGTGAGATATGACCTTGGCAAATAATGCATTTTAAAAATCTTTGCCTATTTGGAAACATATATTTATATAAGTTTCCCAGTCACAAATCTAGCATCTGGAGCGACATCACTAAAACATAGTCCAATGCTCTGGCTGCTGTTGTTTGTCATGCCACCTTTCACTCTACCGCTCTGTCCCCAAAGTCCCTGCACTGTTGCCTTCTGCTGCCACCGTGACCTCTGCGGGTTGGTCTCTCGAGGTTCCACCCAGCTCTCAGTAATTTCAGCTCTCAGTGTGGGAACCTCGGTGCTAGTGCAGACTGGGCCATCTCTTCCACAGAAACACTGTCCCACAGCAGATCTAAGCACTTAGACCTGCTTATCAATGATTTCAGCTCTAATAGTCACTTAACAAACCAAAAGACTCTCTATGGAGCCTAATCAGCTCTCTCCCTAAACAAGAGAAAGGGGCAAGTCAAATAGTGCCTGTAACTCTTTGGCAGAGCCCACACCACCAAGCAAAACACTGTGCCCCACCTGCTCTCTCTTCACTAGGATGTGTCATCCAAACCTCCTGCTTAGAGAATGCAGTTCAGTTGAGGGTGACCCGTGCTTAATTTGTAATGAAAGTGGTGCCCAGGGCTCAAGCAAGTTTGTTACTTTTGTAACTGATGTGACAAGCCCAGAGGTCCCAGGGCTATGAACCTAGGACTATGAACCCTGGCAAGCCCTAGCACAAATGAAACACGGAGGGAAATCAGGATAACAACATTTCATGACCCCCATATTTAATACTTAAGTGATTTGTAACCCAACACCAGCCAAAATTGATCACTTGAGCAGCACCGCTCTGTGTGCTGGATGGGGCGGCAGAGTAGGTGTGTTCCTGTAAATACAGTCTGGCCCTGAAGCCTTTCCACCCACCCCTGGCTCATCACTAACTGTCAGGAGAGAGCTCATTCACACCTAGCTTATAAATAATAATTTGAAATTATTAGGTAGGCCCATACAGCCCAAACAAATGTGCGGACATTGTCATAGATAACAGGTGTAGGAGGAAGCTAGGCTTTGTTCAGACTTCAACCCCCTTATGCTTGCTCAGGTACAAGTATTTTCTCAAGGACAGTATATGCTTTTAAAGTGTGTATTACTGTTTCAGTTTCAATTCAAATGTCCAACCAAGGACTAAATTGGAAACACTCCATGTAAGGGGGGTGTTAGGGAAATTCGGGGGGGGGGTTCCTAGGGAAATCCCTGGCGGCAGGGCTCTGTGCGCGGCTCCCCCAGGCAGTCAGGGCTGAGAGTCCAGCGGGGACCGGGAGCTCAGCGCCCTGCCCACCGCCGGGCTCGCCCTGAGCAAGGGGGGCTGCGCTCAGGAGAGCCGCCTCCCCGGCGCCCCATGGGCGCGGTGCGCTGGGGGCCGCTCTGAGCCGGGCGGGGAGCGGCGCAGCAGCAGCCCGTGTGCGCCTCCAGCGCTGCCGGCGGGGGCAGCCCCGCTCGCCTCGCCCGCCGGGGATGTGGCCGCGAGCAGAAGCCGCCGCCGCCGCCGCCGCCGCGAGGCGCCGAGCCTGGGCTGAGCCGGCAGCGGGCGCCGCCGCCGCCGCCATGGGGGACCGGGGGCTGCTGCTGCGCTACCTGCTGCTGGGCTTCCTGGGCTGGGGCGCGACCGCCCAGCCGGCGGGGGGCGAGTATTGCCACGGCTGGGTGGACGGGCACGGCCGCTACCACGAGGGCTTCCAGTGCCCCGAGGACTTCGACACGCCGGACGCCACCATCTGCTGCGGCTCCTGCGCCCTGCGCTACTGCTGCGCCGCCGCCGAGGCCCGGCTGGAGCAGGGCGGCTGCACCAACGACCGCGAGCCGCCGAACCCGGGGGTGACCGCCCGTGAGTGTCCGGCCCGCGGGCTCCGCCGCTCCCTCCGGCCCGGGCCGGAGGCTCCAGCTGCTGCGCGGGACGGGCGCGTGGCCCCAGCGCGGAGCCTGCGCTCTGGACCGGCAAACGCGCGGGGCCATCGAGCCCGAGGCGGCTCCCGGGCGGGAAGTCGCCGCGGTTCGCCGAGCCAGCGCGGCCCGTCGCTGCGGAGCGCAACCCGCCCCTGCCCCTGCCCCTGCCCCTGCCCCCGCCCCCGCCCCCGCCGGCGGCCTGCTCGGGCCGAGCCCAGCGGCCGGGCGGAGAAAGTTGCCGACAACTTCCCTGGGAAGCGAGTGAGGCACGGGGCGGCCGGAGGCGGCTCCGGGCCCCGCCGCGGCGGCAGGTGAAGGGAGAGACTGGCACGGGGCTGAGTCCGGCCCCTCCCTGACGGCTCGGCGGGGGCGCCCCAGGGCACAGGCGAGCTGCTGTGGAGCCCGGGCTCGCCGGGGCTGCCTGCGGCCCGGGTGCCGCGCGGCTGGCGGCCAGGCGGGGGCAGGCGGCCAGGCGGGGGCAGACAGCCCTTCCCCGCAGCGGCCCGGGCCGCCCGCTGCCCGCTGCCCGCGGCTGGGCGGGCTCTTGCGATCGCTCCCCGGGCTCGGCCGAGCGGGGTGCGGGGGGCGCTGTCTGGCGCAGCCCCGGGGCTGGGCAGCCCGCTCGGAAATCGGGGCTAAGCTGGCCGCGCTAGTTGGGCTTTTAAGCAGCCAAACGGGAAGCCGCGTTACCGCGTCCTGGGCTGCGCGGAGGGCGGGCAGAGGCGGGTTATTTTTACGCTTCTTAACTGGCCGAAGGTGTTGCTGGAGCATCCGGAGCGAAAATAAAACCCGCCGCCTTAAGGCGAATGGAAGCCGGGCTCCCCCGGCCAGCGTCGTCTGAAGAGCGCTTCGGGGCTGTTCAAATCAAGTCAACAGCTGCTGGCAACGCGGCTTTGGTTTAAGCACTCCCACAATTTAGAAGTGGCCCAAACGTTTAAATCCCATACAACCAAAAGGCAAGTTTAAAGAGCTCGTGACCGTGCAGCGAACGAGCAGCTGGAAAGCCACATCCGTGGCCGTTTTCCTTTTTTCTTTTCCAGACGTGACTAACTTTAACTGTAAAAAGAATCAGAGTAGGGTCCCAGGAATGTCACTGCTATCTATATAAACAAACAAGTCATCCAGCAAAAGAGCTGAAAGATATTTTGCTGAAAATCAATCACTCTGAAGTTACTTGCCTCTAAAAAGGGGCTGGAGCTTTGGAAGAGTTAGTCCATAGGTTCAGGCAGTTATAATTTGCAGCAGTAAGTTTCTGAAAAAGCTTGTTGGAAAAGCGGAGCATTATCTCCTGAACAAAGGGAAAACCGAACCGAGCACTGCAAACTATACTCATGCAGCAAACAGGACGATGCGGACTAACCATCCAGGATTCCGATATTGATCTAAAATATTAACGCTAAGCATTATTCGATTAAATTGCCTGCAGGAAATAATTTTAATTTCTGCATGTAGGAACTAAAGGCTAATTAAAAACCAAATGCAGCTTATTGCATGATCAGTGAAGTTGTTAGTATCAGATCATACCTGCCGGTGGCACGCAGTTCACACAGTTTATTTGTAATACGTGAAAGGAGTATATTTTAAGAAGCGCGGTAGTTGATGAGAATTTAAGAATAATGTGGGACTTTGAAAACTTTGCAGAGTTAAATAGACGAGCTATTTCGGAGTGTTAAAATGTACTTATTTATTTTTTATTCAGAGCCGATCTACGTTCCTTTCCTTATTGTTGGATCCATGTTCATCGCCTTCATTATTGTGGGTTCGCTGGTGGCAGTTTATTGTTGCACGTGTTTAAGACCTAAACAAACATCACAGCAGCCAATACGATTCTCTCTTCGAAGCTATCAGATCGAGACTCTTCCAATGATCCTGACCTCCACTAGCCTCCGGACCCCGTCCAGACAGTCCAGTACTGCAACCAGTTCGAATTCTACTGGAGGCTCCATTCGCAGGTTCTCTTTCGCCAGGGCGGAATCTGGGTGTTTAGTGGCATCTCCACCGTCACCTTACACATCTGGCTGCTTACAAACAGGCCATTCTATCCACCTAACTCAACCAGCTGGATTTTTGGTGTCAGCACCCTATTTTGGCTATCCTCTCCAACCAGAACCTTCCCTAGCTGGGAGGAGCTGCCCAGATTTTAGCTAGGAGTTTTCAAAAGTAATATAGCCATAGGAGGTATACTGCTGCCTTGTACATTTCACATTAATATGTTCTGTAGTTATTGAACTCAAAACCATTTGAATAGGGGAGTTGCCCATTGAAAAGTGCAAGATTGTGTAGAAACAGGTACAAATACTTACTTTAGTTGTAAAACAGTTTCCTTGTATGTAACTGCATATAAATTATGAAACATTTTAAACATTTATTTCTTTCAAAAAGTGACCTTTTGGTAACTTATTCTAATGTGTGCAGAATTTCTTCAGAGAGATGTAGAAGACCAATTTGGGATAAAATTATTAATAACATAGCTAGAAGAGTTATACATTACTTTTGAGGTCCAAATGATATTAACTCCCTTATAACAAACCAACAAGATTCTACAACTCTTGAACAATTGTTTATTCACCAGAATAGTCCCATTTACGGCATTGATACTGCTCAGGTGCGTAAGGGTTGCAGGATCCTGACCTGGGGTTGAGGGAAGAAAGCTATAAAAATGGGGAGGGAGGGGGGGAATTGTATACGGTTATAGATACCAGAATCTGATTTTTTTTAAAGTGCACATAATATAACCGAGATTAGGGAGCATAAACTTTATTTTTGAAAGTAAAGCGTTAGAAAGATAGGGCGAGATATTTTAATATTGTTTAAGTTTAGTTTAAAACATGCCCAAGCTCCCAGTAGTCAGATCATTATATATGGAAAAAGTACAGCCTGCACAATAATCTCATTAAGAGATGGTCCATGTAAAATCCTAAAAACATCATTATTTCAAAGCATTTTTATGAAAGGAGAATTTTCTGTCAGCATTTCGTTCAGCAACATTTATATAAATACATAGTGGACAAAGTGGTCTTCAAGTTCTATTTGTAAAATTAGTAATGTATAAAATGTAAAGACAAATTTGTAATTTAAAATGTATGTACAGCATTCACAACATTAATTATTTAGTAGTCATATTGAATTGTTTTATGTCAAATTGGTTGAAATTTTAATTTGGTTGTAATTCTCTACAAAATGCCTTTCAGAAACTGTGAACCTATTAAGCAATGTTCATTTGGATACAGTATCAATACATTCATATTTTGTTTTCTGTACATCAAAAGTAGTAGTAAATTTTGTTCTTTTGCAAACTATTTTACATCCATACACCTGTGATGCTGCAGATTTAATATAGTTTATAACAGTGTTGAATATGCAGTTAACTAGTCAGATTAACATAACTGATGAATTTAACGTGTATATAAAATAAATATAATTATATTATATTAAATTGTTTACTACACTGCTTGAATTTACAATATCTCATTATAGGACTATGTTTCTTCCTCTGTTCCCTTCCAAAAATAACCAACCAACCAACATAAACCAAAAAACAAACATTAACACAAAAACAAGTCAAGGGAAAGGAAAAATGAGTCCAATCAGGGCCTCTACCTTGCATGTATTTCTGTACATAGATAAAGCCATTCTGTCTCTTTGGGTTTCCTGTATCGCTACACTGAACTTGCTTATCTTACCAAACCACATCTGCGGATGTGCTGGGTATTCTTGAAATATTTTATTATAATTGACAGTTCCATTACACAAGCATTAGGGCAAGTTTAATTATCAAAAGCATATTTAAATTAGTATAAAATTAAGGAATTTAGTTAAAATGATGTCCATCCTTTTTACATTAAAAATGTGGGCCATTTCTCCAGAAAAGTTTGCTTTCTGTTTCTGCTTACCATACACTTCAGTCAGATTCTGCTCTCATTGAAGTCAATGGGATTGACTTCAGTGGGAGCAGGCTAGGGATCTTTCTGAATGTAATTTATTTTTCCGCGAGATTTAAGTAGAATTTTGTTCTTTAAAAATAAAATGCTCAGGTATTTCATTTTTTACTTTATATTCTAGTTTTCCAGTTATAGTTTTCATAATCTATTCATATATTTTTTCATTGCATTGTCAACATGAAGTGTCAATAGCCATTTCTACTAAAAATGTAGTGTTAGTAGAACTGTATAAGCAAGGGGAAGAAGATTCTCTTGATTCTATACATTTGACATTTTAAATCTAATATGCAGCTAATATTGAAAATGTATGGACTTTGACTTCCATTCACACCTAAAATCATAATACAATAATGGATACATTTAAAAATAATTTAAAATCTTTTCACATCCTCGTAAAATTGCTATGAAAATTTACCAGTCTAGGTTAAAAAAAATCTGTTTGCCCAACCCTTAGCATGATGATTATGAAGAAACTAACTCACTGTATTCACTTATCAAAGAAAAAAAATTACTTCTCTCCAGGAAGGGGGCAGGTAGAATTTTGCACATCTCTGTCAATGTCCTATAGGGCCTGATTCTGACTTCAGCAGGAGTTTTGTTTGAATAAGGCATATGGGACTAGGTCCTTAAAGAAAGTATTAAATATTTTCTGGAAAAAATTACCCAAGAGTTTACATAGTAAATTAACTGTGTCATTGTTTGGGAGCAGCCTGTAAGATCTGTTCACACAACTATTAAGAGTGGCACTACCATGTGAGAGAGAGATATGGATCAGAGGAGATGTGATAGCGGTCTACAACTATGGACATGAGGAGAGGATTTAGCAGACAAAGCATAACACGATCCAGTGAGTGGAAGCTGAGAATTACATGAATTCAGACTAGGAAAAAATGTAAAACAGTGAAGGCAATTAACTACTGGAATCAACTTATTTAGGGATGTGGTGGATTCTGTCTTAAATTATGCTCCATTGCAACTATAAGTAACAGACTTGATAAAATTCTGTGGCCTGTGTTATGCAGGATGTCAGACTACATGATCATAATGGCCCCTTCTGACTTTAAAGTATGAATCTACAAATGCATTAATAACATCGGTACAGCGTTTGCAACTTTTAGTAATGCTGATCTACTTACTCACACAGGTAGTTTCACTGTTTAAGCATTAGCTAATGTGAGTAAAGGAAACCTATGCCACAAAATCTGACTTTAGGGCAGGATCCTACAAGATGTCAAATACTCTGGCCCTAATTCTGTAAAGCACTTGCTCAGCTTCATGCACCTGAGTATTTTAATGTAAGACTGGGATCAGGTTCTTGGAATCTTGCAAGATGGAGCCTTTAGACCTTGGCAAATGAGGGGTGTGGATGAAGCAGCTGTGCAGATGGGCCTTTGAATAACCTGTGTGCCACTTGAGGTGGGAAGCCTGGAAAGAGGGTCCTTGGATTACTGTATCCATGTTTATCTGGAGCTAGTGACAAAACCCTATGGGTGGGCAACAAGCCACACTATTCAAGACCATGGATTGAAATAATGATCACAGCCTGCTTATAGTTTTAAGGTTGAATTTCCCCTATCCCTGTAGGCTCTCCAGCACAAAGTCTGATTTATTTGGGCTACATGTAGGAATGGTGAATTTCATCTCCAATGAACAGGAAGAACTATAGCTATGGCAATATGGATGCTAAAAAAATCCATAAACTATAATAATCTGCTAACCTATTATAGATACATTAAAAGGTAAATCACATTCAGGTCTGTGATGTAGTTTTAACGACCAGTTAAAGTGTTTGTTTTGAAGGGATTAGGTGGTGAATGTTTGAACAAAATGCATGAAATGAATTAGGTTAATATAGCTTATATATTTATGCAGTGTAATACAGCAATTTAGATTAATCAGCATTGTGAGCACAAGGGGCTTGAGTCTTTTCCCACTTTTACTAGTGTAAATTAACTCCACTAACTTCAGTGGGGTGACATCAGTCTAAAATAAGTACAAGTGACAGGATAATCAAGACTAGTAACTGAATACTGTCAGATTCATGCACATTATGGATTTACTTTTCAGAGGTGCTGTGCATCTGCAGCTCCAATTGACTTCTACTGGAGTTGTGGTTGTTCACTACTTCTGAAAACCAGAACTGGAGTGATACAACCGACAATGCAAAGTCCCTGATATACTTCTTGCGAGTATCTATAACTTGACAGCAATATGAAGGTTATTGGGCCAAATTCTGCTTCCGATTTCTCTTGTGGAAATCTGGAGTCACGCAGTTGACTTGAACAGGAATATTCTGTATTTGCAGTGTAGTAAGGGCGCAGATTTGGATTCATTGACTTCAGTGAGAGAGTTTCATCTGCTCGCTACATATGTCCCTGAAAGAATCCCAAATCAGTCTGTGTTAAACTTATTTTGCACACTAACTGCAAAATATCTGCATTTTTAAATAATCTGTCACTTTAATACTCTTTTCTGATCAACTTACATCCCCTGTCACTTTTGAAATTAACTCCATGTGCATAAGGAGTAATACCTGTCTACCACACTTCAATTCTGGCCTGGATACTCCCACTCTTGTTCAGGTGATACACACCATTAAGGGAGAAACGTCTTTTGGCAGTGACGGTGGATGATGGACCTTTAACACCAAGCCCTCATAAAAGTCAAACAAGACTCCCTTTCAATCAGTCTCTTCCCTGGCTCCTCCACTGAAAAGCTTTCCTATTTGAAAGGGTGCTCTTCCTGTTCTTTACCATGAGTATCCTCAGACCATGCCTCACTGGGTTAGTTGCAATCTTCCATGGTCCTTTTTCAATGTTTAAAGCAAACTCCTCATTGACTTCAATGAGACCATGAGTGGGCCTCTGCAAACAATCATATTTATTAAAAGTTGTAGAATACTTTGCTATTTTCTCCATTTGCTAAAGTAATACAAAAGTGTTCAGGTACTAGTGTGGAAGTTATTTTATTTCCAGTATGCCTCATTTCAACTGATTAAAATAGAAATAATGAACTATGAAAAAGTTTTCCTTTGAACTTTACTTGTAGCACTTGAAACCAAAACCTTCGAAGTTTTTTTTATTTAATGGCAAAGTTTATTCAATTTTTTAATAGCAATTAAAAGACAAAACATTAAAAATTTGCAGTTCAAAACATGCACATTCACAAAATGCCAATGACATGTAACACTGCATAGAACTTAAAGCGTTACTAAAATTTAATAAAACACACAGGGCATTTAATGTCCAGTTAAAACTAAACCTGAGAAAAACTACCATAAACACTGAGTCAAAAACTCTCCATTCATGCAGCTTCACAATTTACACAACAGTTTCAGCAGTAATGGTTCAGTGGAGCTGGAAAATCCTACCTTACCTTGAACACAAACTTTGCTTTGACATAGTAGCTGCCTTTCACAGCAGTTTGACACACTGAAATACTTAATGAAAATCAAGTCAAACAAGAAAAACAATATTAATGCATTTATGGCTTCTAGTCTAGAATAAAGAAACACTAAAACATGATTTTAGCTTTACATGTTCCGATCACAGCTTTGCCATTACGAATTGTTGTATGTATGGAAACGCTTATGTTTAATTCAAAATACGTAAAAAACAAAGGGCCC